ATTCCAGTCCGGTCTGATATTGGACCCCTAACTAAAGTTACTACTATAGTCACTACAATTAGGAAGACACATTTTTGTAACAACCTTTATTTTAATCATGGCCTTATTTTATGAATACTACTTAATAAATGCTTGAAGACAAAAAAGTGATCACATATTTAAAAGGGGTATTTTGAGTTTGCACCCCATTTTATTGTCAAAATTAGACTTTGCACCCCGTTTTTGAAATCTTTAGTATTTGCACCCCCCAACCCCGTATGAAAAGACTAAAATGCCCCTCAATTAACAATTTTGTTGGTCTTCAGCATAATCCTGATCAAGGGGCATTTTTGTCTTTTCCTACGAGGTTGGGGTGCAAATACTACTAATTTCAAAAATAGGGTGCAAAGTCTAATTTGGATAATAAAATCGGGTGCAAACTCAAATTATCCCTATTTAAAATCCCAAAAATATGACTAATGCAGTGACTAGTGTATTCCCAATTGCAGTGACTTGTAGTTTTAGTGACCACCTCGTTCAGTGACTGCCACCATCACATAGTGACCACCCCGTTCAGTGATTGCCGCCCCTGCCCCGATTAAAGACTACCCCCGATTAATGACTGCCGCCGCCGCTTCGTCTAGTGACTGCGGCCGCCGCCCTGTCCAGTGACTGTCGTGCCCCCGTCCAGTGACTCCGACTAGCCAAAGGGACACCTTCACAGTGACTCCGGCCAGCCACAGTGACATCTCCACAGTGACTCCGGTCACCACCACCGGCCACTAGACCTCAGCCCCTCCAACCTCCACCCCACCACCGTCATCATATCCAACAGCACTGGTTACCACTATCATAGCAACAACCACAGACAGTCACCACCATGAGCTCCTAACCTCCGCCACTCTGGTCACCACCATCACACCCCGCTCCGTCCCTATAACTACTGCTTATCGATTCCCACCGATCCCTAGCAATTGGCAGCTAGCGCCAAGATCTGGAATCCCACCGATCTCACACCATAATAGTCTAGATCGTTCAAATATGTGTAATGAGAAGATAAATCCTTTGAGCAAACAATTTCTCCAATCTAACACCTAGTATTCTTTGTATTAATAGATTAAAGAAATTGATGACCTTCTTAATAAATTGGAAAACAATAAGAAACACATCGGTACGTATACTTGAAAATTTTCAATTCTGCCTTTTCCTGCCCCTCCCCAATATGTAGCCCCAATTCCCCTGCAACCCCTGCGCGCACATACCGCAGCAAGGCCACACTCTAGCCACACCAGAAGACAGCGAGCGGCTAGACGCAAAGACGACGACGAGCGCCTAAACGTGAAGACGACGGCGAGCGGCGAGATGCGGAGACAACAGCGAGCGGCTAGGCACCAAAATGACAACAACCGGCTGACGTTGGGTGCTGGCTTGTTGAGTGGGGGTAAGTTGATGATGATGGTGTATTGGTGTGAGAACGGTGGGATAAAATTGATCTGGTAAGACGATAGAGAATAAGACAATTCATTAATTGGGATGAATCACATTTATGGAAAATACAAAATGAGTCATATTTTTGGAAATCAAAAGACTATAAGTAGTCTATGGGTCATTATTTCTTTAATCATATATATGTAATTCTTTCTTATTATAAAACCTTATTTTAATTTTTTTAATGTTTTCAGTTAATTAGATCACTATCAAAAAAATTGCTTTGAAATAATTGCATCTAAATTACTCCCTCTGTCCCATTTTACCTGTCCTACTTTCCTTTTTGGTTTGTCCCAAAATAAGTGTCTTATTTCCTCTTTTGAAAAGAAATATGTGACCTACAACATTTCACTTTATTATATTCAAATCTCAAGCACAACTTTTACTTTTTCAACCAATTTCTTAATAATTGTGTCAAGTTAAAGTGAGACACATAAAATGGGACGGAGATAGTAACTACCTTTGCACTAACAATGTCTTGTGCTATGGTTGTGCATATGAGTTATGTGTATACGAAATGTCGAATTTGGTGTGATATTTCTGTTTACAACTTTGGTCAGGTGATACTTTTTCATCTATCCAATTTGATTCATCTTCTTCAAGGCCTCATACGTTTTTATATATTCCGGGCTCTTCATTTTTTCTATAGGTGAATACATGGGCGAAGTTGTTGAATGCATTTTACACGAGCGTGAAGCTGGAACTGATATACAAAGTCTAAGCGCAGTGCTATGAGCAGTGGAGGACCTAAGGGGCTAGGGAGCATGTGCCTCACTTCGGGTCCGGAATTTCACTAGTACCATTTAAGGTAAAAACTGGTGCCCCGCTTTGGGTCCGAAACTTCACTAGTAGCACTTAGTAAAAACCAGTGCTCTCGTTCTCATAAATTTCTGGGTCCGCCACTGGTTATGAGCAGGGGCGGCCATATGGGGAGTTGGCCAAGGCAAATGCCTTGAGCCTCATATTTTAGTGGGGCCTCAAAAAAAATATTTATAGTATAAATTATCTATTTTAATTTAATAGTTTGGAAGCATGGATATCATATTTTTGATATATTGGTAGCCCAAAGATAGATAAAGTGATTTTAGCTCTTATTAAATGGTAGGCTCGTAGCAACTACTCCAACTAGCCACCATATTAATGAATTATTGAAGTAATGTTTAATTAGTTTGATGGTTGTAGTTATTTAGTTATTTTTTATTTTCAGTGATTATTATATTTGTGAACATTAGCTTTTTGTTGACTGCTTTATTTTTTATCTTTTTGTAAGTATGTTACTGGGGCAAATTTAGAAGTACTACTAAGATTGTCTCATATCAAATTTAGTAAATTTTGTGTCACTTTAAATCAATCTTACTTTATTCTTACTTTATCATCAATTCAATATCAAAATCTTTTGGGAATAAGACTTGGATGTTGTTGTTGATGGCTATATTGTCATAAAAGAGTTAACTATATTCTAAATTTAAAATGAGAATGAGAATTTTTTAAATGAAACGTCCAAAAGAGACAAATGATAATGTTTACTTCGGGTGGAGGAAGTGTAAGTTTTGGTCCATTTTGTGTATGTTTACATTTAAAAAATTTATTATTTTGATGTTCACTACTCTTTGAATTTGCATTTTTTCTTTTAGGGTATTTTCATTCAATTTTTTTTTTGTCTTTTGTGTTGTAAAATTCACGTTAATATAATATGTCAATATTAAGAGCCCGTTTGGTAGCACGAAAATGGGCTGTTTTGGCTGATTCTGCTGAAATTTATGAAGTTCTGGCTGAAGTGGCTGCATTGGCTGATTCTGCTGATACAAGAAAAAAAAATTTAAAATATATTTTATTAATAAAATAAAGAAAAAATTATATGTAAAAATAGCTAAAATGATCATCTACAGTAACTTCAGCCAATACAGCCAGAAAAGTAACTTCAACCTTACTTTTTCGGCTTATTACACAATTCAGCGCGCGAAAGCAAAGTTTACGTGTTTGGTAAAATAGTTGGCTGATAAGCCTGATCAGCCGAAAATGAGGGTTGCCAAACGGCCTCTAAGTGTTTTTCGTGAGTTCTAAAGAAGCCTCTGGTTATGAGGACACTAAGGCTGATGAAATTGTTCCCTGAAAACATAAGGTTACTTTTTGACCAGGATGTCCTTGCTGAAGACACCATCCTTCCATGGTTCCGCATGCAAAGGAACAAATCCCAAGGGCAGGTAACGTTGTGAACCTTTCGTTCTCTATTTTGGTAGCCATACTCTTCTCTTCTCTTCTGTTTTTGTGGACATATTTACCTTAGTAATTAAAATCAATTACTTCCAACTTTCCCTTTTCGTCCGTCCCAAAAATAACTTCATTTTCCCTTTTTGGCAAAGAATTTGTGGTTCACAACACTTCATTTTCCCTTTTTGGCAAAGAATTTGTGGTTCACAACATTTCTCTCTCCTCTGCACAACTCTCCACCACACAATTCTCACTTTTTAATCACCGTGCCATTTTAATTTGAAAGAACATTTAGGGATGGAGGGAGTAGTTCTTTTAATTCGTTTTTTTTTTCTTCGCAATGTGCTATGCTCATCTCAGGTGATATTATTAAGATGGTCGTGGTACATTTTTTCTGTTCATCTGTTGTGAATTTGTTATAAGACTGTGTTTGTAGTGACACATAATAATCCACGTAGGACGTTTTACCTAAAAATCAACAAAAGAAACATTTTTTATCATTTTGAGGTCTCAATATGTTGTATGTGTACTGTGGTTAAAATATTGTTGAGTGTCGGTTGGTATTGGTCTTACTAATTGTGGGCATAACGGACAGCATATGCAACAAGATGCACTGTGTGATGCTCACTTTATAAATTTTGGTTGTAGAATTTCTAATTTGAAATTTAAATAAGGTATTAGGAAAGGAACTTGTAGCTCAAAAATGTTATGGGAAGGGGCTGAGTATAAAAAACTCAGATATCTACAAGCATTTGTAACGAAATATCATATGATCAAATTTGGTTTGTTCTGACAGATCACAAATTGGATCCAATCACCCCATGCGTTTTAGTATAGATGAGAATAAAAAAGAATAAATGTAATGATGGTTTGTAAGATAGATTTGTATTTAGCATTTTTGTTTCATCAATTCTGACATTTTTTATGCGTGTTAGCATTTTTTTTTCACCCCATGCGTGTTAGCATTTTTTATTTATCGTATTGCAAGCTTATTACATAGTTACTACTACGTATATAAAGAGTAAAAATATCATCAATCCAGAATGATAGAAGTCTCGTTCGAGCAACACCGTTTGAGCGGTTTCCTCGTGGAAATTTTCAATTAATTTTTGTGAACATGTTCATCATGAATTATATATATGTGGAAGATTGGTGATGGAGCTTTTGGTGAAAATCAAGTTGGAGAACCACTCATTAATATACCAGACGATATGATCGCTCCAATGACGTCTGATCCTGTTGAATCTATAGTTCAAGCTATTCATCCTTATTTCTAACCCAGGGTGATCCGATTAATTACCTTTATTCCAGGGCTATTCTTACTCCAACCATAGATGAGGTTGATAAGGTCAACGATTACATATTGAGCCAGATAGATTCAGAGTTAAAGACATACCTAAGCTCAGATTCAGCTTCTTCATCTGACACAGATAGTAATGATCTCTTGCATGAGATACATTCTCCTGAATGTCTTAATAGCATGAAATTAGGCTTGGACTCGGGTCGGGCCACCCGGCCCGTGGACCGGCCCGGCCCGCTACTGTGCGGGACCGGGACCGGCCCGGTTCTCGGGTCCGGGTCCGGGTCGGGCCTAGGCCCGGGGGGTAGGGCGGGTCCGGGCTCGGGTCTCAATTTTGGTGAACCGGCCCGGCCGGGTCGGGCCTGGGCCCGGGCCAAATTGAATTTTTTTTATTTTTTTTTTTTCATTTTTGGGGTTCCACCCGGGTTGGGCTTGATGGGTAGGATGGGTTTGGGGGTGTTTGGGACGGTGGGGGTGAGGGGGGGGGGGGGGGGGGGGTAAGGAAAGCAAAAAAAAAAAAATCCAAACCGGAGGCCCGGCCCGGACCCGGACCGGACCCGGTGGCTACCCGGGCCGGTCCCGGGTCCACCATTCTTGAACCGCCGGCCCGGACCCGAGTCCACCCCTACATGAAATGTTCTGGCTTGCCGAGTCACGAGCTGAAGCTTAAAGTTGGAGTTCCTGTGATGCTTATGAGGAATATAGATCATTCATCTGGAAGGATTAATAGTCCCCAATTTTCTCTAATCAAATTTGGTGAAGAATCCTAGATTTAGCACTAGAAGTATTCATCTGGAACCAACCTGAAGTTTTATCTAAACAGAGCACTAGAAATTTGGTGATGCTTATGAGGAATATAGATCATTCATCTGGAAGGATTCTTCCCTGTATAAATCATCCTGGAAGGATTAATACCCCAAAAGTCCGAGGTAGTTAATGGAAGGATTCTTCCCTCTTTGTCTTTTTATTGTACCCCTCCATCCAAAAATAAAGAAACTTGTTAATTAAACTTGTATGCTACTCTGTTTTGGAAAATGATTAGAGAAAATTGTCTTGGCTCGATCATCACACATGGAACGGAGGGAGTACCTAGTAGTAATATATGTTAATACGAGCAGTACTATATTTCCACCAAATTTACTTTCCTTCTAAATTCCCCTTCTACCCCCCTCCCCCCATATTCTTATTCTATGTTTCCTGGTTCCAGGGGGGCTTTAATGATCAAAATCGTGATTTTTTGGGATGTTTTTTTAAATCAAGTTTTATTTCATAAATTCAGCCACTAAAAAAACAAAACCTTACATGGCCTTTCTTTTTCTTTCCATACCATTTCCCTGGTCCCAAACATAGCCTAACCAAAACCCACAAGTTTGACAAAGAGAAAGTCGTGATCATTATCATGTATTTATATGGCCAAAATTAGTCGATTGAGCAATAACAGACTGTAACTGAGCCCAACAATCTATAGGATGGAAACATTAATGCTCTATCTGATAGTAAGAGAAAGACAGCGGTCCTCATGTCCTGTCTGAATGATTTCTAAGAGGCACACTTGTTTCTCGCTACACTTATGGCATCAAGCCAACAAATCAAATGATGCAGCAATTTCTCGAATGCCATGAATCTTAACTTTCTAGTTTCTAGCCAACACAAGCTTTATTTCACTGACCACCACACTTTGAAATTCAAAATTTGTAAGTACTCCCTGCGTATCTATTTAATTGACCTGTTTGCTTTTTTATGTAGTTTAAGATAATTACTGTAGATTCTATGAAAAGTAAAAGGTTTTGGTACTGTAGCGGTACTGTAGCTGCTTTTTCAGTGAGTTTCTTTCCTAAAAGGGAAATGAGACAATTAATTTGATACGTCCCAAAAAGGAAAGTAGGACAACTTAATAGATACGATGGGAGTAGTAACTAAGTCAACCAATTCAACAAGGATTTTAAGCTTTAGGCATTTGAAGAGAATGCTACGAACATAAAATTAAACAAGTCCAGCAATGATACTATATATTTAAGAATAAGCAGATAGCACGTAAGGGCGGCAATTATACAATCAGAATTCCTACTTGCTATTTCCTCTCTGGCCATACCCTCCCCTAATGTAATTAAATTGAAGGGCAAATCCCATAATAGCATTTACAAAAAAAAGTGCAATCCTAATCTTATTGGGGTAACTATGTGGATGCATCATTCAAAAATAAAATGCTAAAATCAAATCTGTAGTTACCTGAAGAATAGGTAAATAAAATTTCCAGAATCTAAAAATATGTAAAACAATAGCCTCTCTTCGGGTTTGCTTTGGCTAGAGAGGAAATAGCTGGTGAAGTATTCTAGATTTAACCCCATGTCCCTCTTAAGCTATATTTATGCGCACAACAGCAAGCAAGCGTGTGTGCCGGAGGGTGACATATACCACAACCATCTAAAGACCAAACCAACCTGAAGTTTTATATTGTTGAGTATTGCAACAACATCCAAGCCTTAATCCCAAAAGAGATTGAGGTCGCCAACATGAATCAACATATGACACCGGACAAACAAACAACAACACTACCTCAGTGCCGCAAAGGCTCCCACCTATGATGGGGTACGGGGGGTCAGATGTCGACCCCCGTGCCAAACAAAAAGGGAGACAAACAAAAACAGATCAACCTTTCAAACATATACTGCCCCCCACTTCGCTCACTCCAAAATTATACTCTCGTATAACCCAGAAAACTGTCTATCCTATATTGTATGACCCAATATTTATCCAGTGGTCAAATAAAGAAGTAAATTTCTTTGTTCAGTTATTAATAAATATTACTCCCTCCGTCCCAATTTGTAAGATACTTTACGATTTACAATGTTTGACCAACGATAAAGCAAATTGATCCCTGTCAACACTCAAATTAGTTTTAGAAAATAAAATTTACATATTCAGAAACTACATTAAAACCGCTACAAAACCTGCAAAAAATAATTTAAATTTCATAAACTTTTGTTATATAAAGTAAAAGATTAAGAGTGATTTATGTTGACCAAGTGAATAGTAAATGTATCTTACAATTTGGGGCTGAGGGAGTATCACCTTAAGATCAACTATTTGGAGTTATGGTGCCACGAGCCCTAAATTCCCCAGCAAGTTGGGGTTATGGTGGTGATGATACGGAGTATCATTTAGGCGAAATTCACAAGAATAATTCATACTTTTATGGATTCTACAATGATAATTCCTACTGAGAGTGTCCATAAAAATATTCCGTATTAGCAATAGTATCCACAAGAATAATGCCAACCCCTACCTCCACTTTCCCCTTCACCACTTTGCGTCTCAATTAACACTTTTATGTTCCAGTTCAGAGAGAACCACATATGGCGGAAATGGTGTTGAGATTAAACGGATTTTAGTTTGAAATTGACCCGAGAAGAAGAGTAGGGAAGAGAAAAGTGAGAGTAAGGGTTGCGAGTATTAAACGGACATTAATTTGAATTCACCCCAATTTATTCTTATGAATATCATTGCTAGTTCGGTTTATTTTTGTGGACAGTGGACACTATGAATGATTATTATCGTTGAATCCCTAAAAGTAGGGATTTATTCTTATGAATGTCACCTATTATTTATAATATTAGCACACATTCTGTGAGTCAAGTTATTGTCAAAAATTAGTAAGCACTACAAATTCATGCAAATCATATTGCAAAAAATTAAATTGTAAATATTACAAGTCTTATCATTTGCTTAAATCTAACAAAATGAGCTAGGCGTATGGAGGGAGTACCTAATTTCCATTGTTGATATCCTTTTGCCCCTCCCCAGGCTATCAACCACCACCCAATTGATCACAATATCTCCACCTTACAATTTGGTTAAGAAATTGGGCTAGCTATGTCTTCCCAAACAATTTCAAGAAGATGAAAGCAAAGTGTAACAATGAAATAAATGACTACAAATATATTGAAAGGATCACATACTTTCAATTCTTTTGATATTATGCTCAATATTTGTGAAGCTTCTAACTCCCCTTTTAAAAGTTGTTGAGCTAATTGCACATTGTTCTGCAAAATAAAAATAAATTTAAAATCAATTTTAAAACTCATATATAATGAAGTTCAGATAAAAGCTAAAGTTTGTAGCTAATAATACATGGATGAGCATCTAAATGTTTCCTCCAGAGAAAACATTATACTCCCTCTGTCCTTTTTTAGTTGCAACGGTCAACATTTCACATTTGCCAACGCACGTCTTTGACCGTAATCATATCTTAATTCTATTAGTAAAAAAATATTAAAAATCAGATTTTGAAAATTTGTAATGAGATGAATTGAACAATATTTAAAAATAATAATAATTTTCATAAAATAATAGCGTAAAATGTAGTCAAAGTAGAGCATGTGAATAGTGTAAAATTCAACATGTTGCAATTAAAAAGGAACGGAGGATCGTATATGCTAATCAATCCATTACTTTCATCCCCAGGATATATCCATAAATATGGTTAAAGAAAAGCATCACCAAAGCAAACCTTCAAATTAAAAGATAGCTGGTGCATTTTTTTATTATATTTCTGGATATCAGATGAGAGTTCTTCATATGCAGCTCTCTCAACAGCAGCTATTGCAGGAACGGCAATGTCTGGCCAACAAAATTTCACATCTCCCTGTGAAGGATCGGTCGAAACGTATCAAAGCCAATGTCTACAAAACCTGATACTCTATCAAAACAATCAGGACAGAAGTCGCAGAACACTGAATGCATATATTTGTTAATTGTTATTATTAAAAAATTCAGAGCACAATGTATAAGTTCTAACTGCTTTGGTGATCCGCGGGCCCCATTTACAATTTTACTAAAAAGATCACTTAGGTGTATCTTGTGAAGGATCTGTCTAAACATATCAAAGCCAATGTCTACAAAACCTGATACTCTATCAAAACAATCAGGACAGAAGTCACAGAACACTGAATGCATATGTTTGTTATTATTAAAAAATTCAGAGCACAATGTATAAGTTCTAACTGCTTTGGTGATCCGCGAGCCCCATTTACAATTTTACTAAAAAGATCACTTAGGTGTATCTTGTTCACCGTATCTCCTTTGATAATTACTTACTCTTATCTAAACTCTTATTTAAATGAGATCATACAAGAAACATTCAGACGACAGAGAAATATAACTTACATAAAAAACATTGCTTTCATCAACATCGCCACCTTCACAACTAACCACGCGAAATGCTTATAGACTGAATTGCTTCGAGAAGCTTTTCCAACCACTTGTCAGGTGTTTTTCACCAGTAAGGGCATTGAAGTCAGAAAGTGCTTTGAAGTGATGTGCTGTGTCTACTGATCTTGTAGGTGGTTCATCCCTTACATAGACATTGTTAAGGGCCTTGGTACAAGATCTAGTCCAAGGTCGATGATTCTGGGAAGAACAAGAAAAATATGAATCTATAGTGCCTGAAATATTAATCGACTCCCGCCCTCAGCAATGAGTTTGTCGCAGGTTCCACTGTACGCCAAATAAAAATTAATATTCCAAAGTTTATCTCATTAATCCAACTGATAAGCCTTAAATAGGCAAAAGACAAGTTTCCTAAAACAATAATAGGAAAGAAGTAATAAAGAAGCTCCTAAACTAGTATAAGGAAACCTGAATAAATGAACTCAAAGTAGGAAACTGATTTAATTAATTAAAATAGACTCAAAGTAGGAAACTGATTTAATTAATTACAATAATGAGGACCACTCAAGCTGGTCCCTTCTTTGACCGCCTCTGGTAGACTCTGCCAAATCGACCCATATCAGACATCCAAAGAAGTGGTGCTCTTTCTCCTCAAAAGACGTTTCTGCTCAATCAAAAGCTCTTCCTGCTCAGACTCAATGTCAGGAAGATCCCCAAGTCGAGAAAGTGTTTTCTGAACTAGGAGGTCGAGCTCATGCTGCTTGCTATCTTCATGATCGTTATCTAATAACTCAAAAAGATTCATTTTCTCTGTATCATAGACTCTTTGGACCAAAAAGCCAGGATGTTGAATGCGTCTTGGAATCTGCTTGTTTGAAGGGATAAAATGCACCACACACCTGTGCATGACAGACTCTGCAGGAATCTCATCGCAGTGAAAGCTATAGAACAGTTCCCTTGTATCACATGATGGCCAGTTCGCCCCTGCTCTAGTTTCTGTCTCTTCAGGTCGATAAAACCACTGCCCAGTTATCATCACTCTCCCTTTGCTGGTCTTGGAAATATCCTGCACATCACATCCAGGGGGAGGCAAAAAATACAGACATACATAAAAGGCGAATCAGAAACTTCTTATAAATTGAATGATTTTACAATAACACAAATAATGGAGACCATCATATGTTACATGAATAAAAAGTTAGAGCACCCAATACTTGGTCTAAAAGAGAAAATTGGACAAAATATGCACACATTCCATTGCTGAAAAAATTGGACAATCTCCATTAAGTTTAGAAAGACATGTTTAATTTCAAACGGTGTAGGGGTTCTAGAAACCAAAAACAGAAGAATACGAAGTAAGAGAATTCGATGCTATACTCATTAAGCACAACTAAAAGTTGGAAGTAAGAACCTTTTGGAATTTTTCATCTGGTTTGTGCCCAAGAACAAAAGGTTCTCTGAAGCCACTAGTTTGAATCCCCCAGCGCCAGTCATTAACTTCACGGCGCGCGGGATTGTTTGGGTCAAAGGTCCCGGACAATCGCATACTAACAGTTGAAAGTAAGAAACAAAAGTGAAAAACAGTGAAAACTTGATTACAACAATTAGTAAATTACCTTAATAATAGCAACATCAGGCTTTTGTTTTGTCTCCATGGGAACTATCAGCACAGAGTCCTCCTAGACAGAAATAACACATAGTAACATATGCAAAAGGGAAGCACAATCTATTGAGACCCCTATGCATAGGGGTGTGGAAGTGTATGATGTCTAGAGGTAACAAAAATACAAAATGGAAAGAAATTAGATACTTTATGTATATATGATGGAAATGTACATCGGCATCATTATCATCACTTTAATCCCAATTAGTTGGGATCAGTGGCACTAGATTTAGGATGACAATTAATTATATAAAATTCACTAACACTATAAATCCAAGCAAAAGATATTCCATTTCAACAAAAATGAATATGAGTAATTGAGTATAAAACTACCTCATGTAATACGATTACCTTCTAGAGGGTCGCCAGTAGCGACACTTAACGTAGTAGTGACATAATCAACTAGTAGTAGTGACATTTACAGTTTCCAGTTTAATACCATATTAGCAGCAATTTTGTCCATATGTAAAAGTAGTTGCTTTTTTAAAATTGGGCTCCAGAATACTACTCCCTCCGTCCCACAAAATTTGGCCAAATTAACTTTTCTTGGTCAATGATAGTGAACTGGAGTATTTTTAACAAATACTCCATCCATCCCATTAGAAGGTTCCCACTTTCCTTTTTTGGACGTCCCATTAGAAGGTTCTCATTTCCATTTTAGGAAACAATTAACAATCTTAAGTGACAAATTAATCATTAAATATTAAAAATAATACATTTATAACATCACAGTTATCAATACTAACTACATTATAATATATACCTATTAAAATTATTTCTTAAAATATACTCGAAGTACTTTATTTAATTATTGCCTAAATAACCGTGCCGTTTTGCTATGGGAACCTTCCAACGGGACGGAGGGAGTAGTATTTCCATATAATTTTCATATTTTAAATAATTTCATACTAATAAATATCATTGGTCAAATTTGGCCATCATTGGTCAAATTAGGCCATCATTGACCAAGAAAAGTCAATATGGTCAAGTTTTCTGGAATGAAGGGAGTAATATTTAAAGCAAAAGCTCTATTAATAATGTCACCCTCGGGCCTCGGTATTACATGTGAATGTTATACTGGTTTTGTCCTTTTATCTCCTCTTTATCAGAATGCAACAAAAGACTATAGTAAAAGTGTAAAACATGTTGCTTATGTGAACTTGGTTACCAAAAGCTTGAAGATGTATTATTTATAAGTTACGAAGATAGGAGTTATTTATAAGTTGGGAATCCAGATTCTGAGTTTTTCTGCAATAGTAATTGTATCATTTCTACAGAGAAATATGACCCCCTTCACTCCTTCAGCATAAAGAGAATTTCCCAATAACGGAACCAGTCTAGACAATCGCAAAGAGCAAATATTTTATGAATCTCATTGGGAGAAGGCAAACCCCGGTCCAATAGCAGGAAATTGGGTTAAATGCATAAAAAATAACTTAACAATTAGTATTGTTGCATTTTATACCTTGAATCTTAAATGAAACAAATCGGTACCATAATTATTGGTAAATGTTTCAACCATCTATACTGTTCAATTTTCTGACCAAAAATTTCTCTGTGTCAGCCGGAAGTCATGGTGGATAAAAGTAATGTACAGTTGACTGTATGCATGTAATTCCAGGCACCAGGTATGATTTTTTTGGCCAAAAATTTGAATATATTGCCAGTTGAAATGTTGGCATATAGAAAGGTAGTGATTTGTTTCATTTCAGAGTTAAAGTACCAAAGGCAAACAATAATACTCCGTAATAGTTAAGGTACCCCATTTTAGCCCGGAAATTAGTTACAATTCAAGCAAATTAAGCAAGCAGAATCACTAAAATAAAATACTATCACACTCACTAGGCAAAACTGGCATCCATTATACTCGAAGGCATCATAGTGCCGCCGCCTGCTTTGCCATTTTCCACTAACCCTAACGACATCGCCGATAGGCTTGGCATCCTCATGCGGCTCTTCTTGCTGCTTATCTTCACCGGAAGAGGGTTCCGCTTCAGTTTCTACCACTCCCTTCTTCCTCATATTGTCCTCTTCTCCTGCCTCTTCGCAGTCTTCATCAACCTCTAAATTTGGTACACTTTTCCTCTTGCTTACTTTCCGTTTATCCTCATTGATCTTATCTTCCTCCTTGTGATGCACCTCTCCTTCTTCGTAATCCTCGCGGAGAGGCATTTTATTGCGCTTTTGGGAATTTGCCAGTGACGGCGTCGGCGACGACTCTTCGCCGTCATTGTCGCTTGTTGCTACCTGCGTGGACCGTTTGACACCCATCTGCAGAGGCGGAACAACGTTGCGTCCCACGAGGCCAGAACTAAGTCACTATGGACTCCTCAATTTAATTTTATTTGTAATTGAAGTACGTACATGAGTACATCCTGTGAAGGTGAAGATCTCTTCTCACTTCAAAAGTGACTCACATTATGATAAACAATTATGAAATATTGTGAAGAAATAAAGGATAAATTCAAAAAAATATAGATGTAATAGTGTATTATTTTCAAAATTATGAAAAGTATGATAGGAAGATTTATAAATATGAAGATTATTGAAAAAATGACATGTACGAAGTATTTTATTAATACTCCCTCTGTCCTTTAAAACTTTGTCATCTTTCCTTTTTGGGACATCCAAAAAACTTTGTCACTTTCCATTTTAATCAATTATTTTGTGGTTTCCATCATTTCTCTCTCCTCTGCACAAACCTCAACCACACAGTTTTTACTTTATTATTTTCCGCGCCGGTCTTTCCTTTGGCAAAGTTTTAAGGGACGGAGGTAGTAGAATTTTTTCGGACAAAAATATGACTAGTTATGTTTTTGGACAAAAATATGATTAGTCACCGTAAACTAGTCATTATAGTGTATTTTAGAAAGACAAGTCATTGTAAATGATGAGTCACTGTGAACTAGTCGTTAAATATGTCATTTTTTCAAAAATAGTAAAACAAGTCATATTTTTGTGTTTTGAATTTAATTTAGAAATATTCATGGGAAAAGGCCAAGATTATTTTCGTTTAATAAAATCTTTGGTTTAAAAAAAAGTGTAGATATCCATTAGTTACGGTTGAAAAAAAGTGGGAAGATCTTTTTGTTACGAGGGGAGTCTTTATTAGTAGGTTTGTCAATGAGTAAGGACCGGACCGGGACGTGGTGTTCCAGACTGGACTCACTAAACTAATAAAGGACACGGATCCACTAAGTTAATAAAAGACTCGGACCAAGACCTGTATACCTGACGGATCTGAAAATTTAAATCTAGACCCAACGAGTCTCGGAAGTGGACCGGATAGACCCGCCAAATATGAGAAGCATAATACTACGTAGTATAAGCTTTGTGAAATAACATGACATGTATATGAAATGTAAAGGTGTATAGCTCAGGATTAAAATATATCTTCACTTTTTTAAAAATCAAAGTTTCTCATAGAAAATATTTGTACTATTATCCAATGTATCAAAGTTTCACAATTTTTATCTTTTTTTTTTTTGGGAAAGGAAAATTTTATTGATAATTGAGAAAAAAAGTACAATGAAAGGAAAGAGAAAAGAACATTACAAGAGAAGTAAAGGAACCAAAAATAAAGATGCAACAATAGTGAACATAGCAAATTAGTGCAGAGCGTGTGCTACTTTGGATCTATTGCGAGTGCTCCTCCTCTTCCAAACAATAGTAACTTTGGTCTCAGTTAGTTGATCCAATAGTTCTTGTTCTGATGGAAATGATCTTGAAGGGGTGTCGAAGTCATCATTTGGGATATCTGATTCCTTAGGGTGTGAAGGATCCTCCTTCGACATTTCTAAGGAAGAGTTTTCCTGAGTTAGAGATTGAGACGGTTCTAGTTCATCGTCACAATTTTTATCTCTATTTCTTTAAATTTTAACATTTTTTTTGAGGTTTTTAATATAACAAACCTGCTATTACAGATCAAAAACTGAAAACATTGCCAAATTGATCAAGTTCCGGAAATAGTACAAGAGATTATTTGATCATTTTTCCTAATAATAATAAATATTGAATTTTGTCTACCTAGCTCAATTCACACTTTACTGGCATGTATAAATAGCCAAGATGGGAATAAATTTCAGGATATCTCACTATCTCAGTATCACTTATACGGTAGGTATGGATTAGTGTGTATTTTTTATTTGAAAAATTACAACTAATCACTTTATGTATTAGTATGTAAATACATGGGTGTGTATTACCCCGTAGTTTGTATTTTTTATTTGAACTGTTATAACTAATGACTTTATGTATTAGTGTGTGTATTAATTAAAAAACGGGTTCAAATCATTAACAAGTCAGGATCATGTGTAGCATACCCGACTCGTTTATTAAAAATACTAACGAGCCCAGGTAAATAGAACAAAATATAGGCTCATACCCGTTAAAAATAACCGAGTCAGGTCGAGTCCGAGTCTAGACCCAATCCATTGACAGGCCTTTTTTCAGGCATAAAATATGTATTCCCCATGTCACTCTGCCTTAGCATGCTCCCGTTTCACTAGTTCATCTACTCCAGCTTTGGTGGCACTTGATGTACTCGTAATTTATCATATTTACGATCTTGTTTGTTTCACATTTCTAATACATTATTTCTCATTTTTAAATAAAAAGGATTGATTTTTATCATCTTGGACATTTTAAGGTATTGCACTTGTTTTGATATATTTTTGAATTTCAGGATAATTTGGGGCGTAAATTAATTTCTGAAAAGAAATAAATATTACTCCCGAGTGAAGACGGAAAAATAACCAAAGTGAAGCAGGTCCTTACTTTAACTCTGGAATATTTTATCAAGAGACCCGAAATACACTTCAGAATAAAATAGACTGCTCGCATTAAAAAGTACCGTTGACCATGATGGATAGTGTACCCGGGGGGTAGCTTATCCGAGGGGTTATTACGGAGAATAACTAGAGAGAAGTGAGAGCAAGTAAATATAGAGAGAGAAAGTATATTATGAAGTGTGGAGAGTTTTCAGCGTTTTTGACTTGGTTACAAATGGGGAAATGGGGTGCTATTTATAGTAGCAATAAATTCCGGACAGGGACACGTGTCAAGCGTCCATTGGACGAGAGGTCACCTCAACTGGTTGGCGCTGGCAGCCGCATGTGGCCGCATTTTATGCGGCTGTTGGATGGGACGTTGTACATGGTACGGTGATCTGTACGCATGTGGCGCGGATATTATGTCGGGAGAGGTGCCCTCGGCTGCAGAGGACTAGCCGAGGGCTCTGAGCGCCGGGGACCCCCTGGGTGCCGAGGGCTCCAGGTTGCCGAGGGCTACTGCTTTCTGCCGTTTTTCTCCCAGTTTCTTAGTTTGCTTGAAAACCCATTCTGTGAGAGTTTTGAGCCTTCGGCCAGGGGGCCGAAAGCTCCCCAGTGTGCGCTTTGGGCTTCTAAGTGCTTGGGGTGCCGTAATTTTGGGGCCTGCTGTGCTTCCTGGGCCGGTTGAGCCTTTATTGGTGTAGTAGGAGTCTGTGGGCCGGGGGTTCCCGGGCCATATACTCGTGGGGTACGGCTTTTAGAAACAACACTTGGTGTTAGTTTCGATATGTAGCCCTCCGGTACTTGGTACCGAGGGGTCTTCTGTAGGAACACTTAGTGTTCTTCTTCTAATTGACTTTGATGGGTGAGATGTGTACCCCCGGTACTTGTTACCGAGGGGTCTTCTGCAGGAACACTTGGTATTCTTCTTTTTGATGTTGATGGTGGAGATGTGTACCCCCGGCACTGGGTGCCGAAGGGTCTTGAAATGAAACACTTGGTGTTTCCTGTTGCCGGTGATGGGAGTCCCCACCCTCGATACTTGGTACCGGGGGGTCTTGTTTGAAACACTTGGTGTTTTCACTGTTGTCGAAGGTGTCGATGGTGTCCGCCCTCGGCACTTGGTGCCGGAGGGGGTTCTTCTCGTAGTGAGGCCTGGGGCCTGTAGTTGGTATGAGGGCTTGGCCGCTCATGAGTGTTTTGCGGTTGTTCTTGGTGTCTTGAATGTGTCTTCATTCTTCAAAATTGGGGGCCTTGGGCCATAGGATAGTACATTCACCAGTTATGAGGGCTTGGCCGCTCTTACATTATTGATAAAATTTAACTAAGTGGCGTACATTCCAGTACCTGGGGACCTCTTTCCCGTTGGGGCGCTTGAGCTTGTAAGTCCCAGGTTTGATGATGGCTGCTATGATGTAGGGACCTTCGAACTTTGGTGCCATTTTGCCTCCCTCGGTCGGTTGGCTGGCTTCCCTCCTCCGGAGGACATAGTCCCCCACTTGGAATTCTCGGGTGCGAACCTTGGCGTCGATGTAGCCTTTGACTTGCCTTCGGTAGTTTTCTGCCCGGATGAAGGCTTGCTCCCGTCGTTCTGAAAGGAGGTGGAGGTCGAGGGCCATGTTGCTGTCGTTGACCTCGGGGTCGTATTGGATCACCCTCCGGGTGGGAAGGCTGACTTCCGTAGGAGCTTTGGCTTCAAACCCGTAGCAGAGGGAGAAAGGTGTCTCGCCTGTTGCTCGCCGAGGGGTGGTGCGGTAGGCCCAAAGGATGTTGTGGAGTTCTTCTACCCAACCACCGCCCTCGGCCTCCAGCTTCTTTTTGAGGCCTTCGAGCAAGGTCCGGTTGGCGTTCTCTACTTGCCCGTTGCCTTGAGGGTAGGCAACGGAGGAGAAGGTGTGTTTGATGCCCCATGCCTCCAGAAGGGCACATAAGGGGGCTGCCTCAAATTGTGTTCCGTTGTCGGAGATGATCTGCTGGGGGACGCCAAATCTTGTGAGGATGTTCTTGAGGACGAAGTGACGGCACTTCGCCTCTGTGATGCTGGCGAGGGGCTCAGCCTCCACCCACTTGGTAAAGTAGTCGATGGCCACAATGATGTACCTGTTGTTGGAGGTACCCCTCGGCAGAGGGCCCACAAGGTCTATCCCCCATTGAGAAAAGGGGACAGATGTGCTGATGGGGGCATAGTTGACCGCTGGCCTGCCGGGGGCTTTCTGGAAATGTTGGCATGCGGTGCACCTTCGGGCGAGGTCAGCACAATCTCTGGCCATGGTTGGCCAGAAGTAGCCCTGGAGAATGAGCCTTCGGGACATGGAGAAGGGTCCCTGGTGAGCTGAGCAAGTGCCACTGTGCACTTCCTCCATTGCGACCTCGGCTTCATCTTGATGAAGGCACCGAAGTAGCGTGCCGTTGTAGGACCGTTTGTAGAGCCTTCCGTCTTCGATGGTGTAGATAGGAGCCCTTAGCTTTGTTAGTTTAGCGCGGGTCTCATCTTCGGGTAGCTGCCCTGCGGAGATGAAGGTGATGATATCTGAGATCCAGTCCTCTTGGCGTTGTTGTATGTTCATGACGGGGCTCGCATGGATACTCGAGAGACTGAGTTCCTCAATTTTAGCAATCTTAGAGA